AGCGCCTAATGGACCGTGTCTTGGAGGAGTATATTGGGGAGTTCGTGGTCGTGTATATCGACGATATTAATATATATTCAAGAACGTTTGACGAACATTTGGGCATCTAAAGAAAGTATTTGATAAGTTGGCCGAAGCGGGATTAAAAATCAACGTTGAGAAATGCGATTTTTTTAAACCTACTATCCATTTCCTCAGACACATAATTGGAAGGCAAGGGATACAACCTGACGAAAGTAAAGTGGAAAAAGTAAGAAATTATCTAATACCAGGTACACTACGCCAGTTAAGGAGGTTCATCGGCCTAGCGTCATATTATAGAAAGTTCATACCCAGGTTCACTGCAGTCGCAAGGCCTCTATACCAACTACTACAAAAAGGCGTTAGTTTTGACTGGGGACAAGAGCAACAAAAATCATTTGAGGCATTAAAAAATTACCTGACTACGGCAACCATTCTTAAATACCCCGATTTTAATGATATGTTTTACTTGTACACCGATGCATCCGGAACTGGGCTGAGAGCTGTCTTGGCGCAAAAAGGAGAAAAAAAGAAGGAGCATGTGATCTCGTACGCTAGCTGCAGTTTATCTAAAGCCGAAAGAAACTATTCGGCATGTGAATTAGAATGCCTAGCAGTCATTTGGGCAGTAGAATACTACCACCATTACTTTGGCTTTAGGCCATTCGTAATAATAACGGACCACTCAGCACTAAAGTAGTTGCATAGTACGAAGTTAAAAGGGAGAAGGGCACGATGGATACTCCAATTACAGCCATATAATTACACGATCCAGCATAGGTCGGGAAGTACACATTGGAATGCGGATGCATTGTCCCGAATAAATGGAACAGAAGAGGAAATTGCGGAGGCATATATGGTTGTAGGAGAGAGTAATAAGCAAGAATTAGAAGAAGGGGACGAAAATCGAGTAGATAAAAAAGAAGCTGACTCGCCTGAGCTTAACGAAGAGATATACGAAGCAAGTGCTCGACCAACCACTGTGATTTCATATGAAAAGGTGGGAACTGCCTATCAAAAAAACCTAGAATACATGGGCCCAAGTAAATCGTATAGCAATACCTACCAAGTATATTATCACCCAGCCAATTTCGAGCATCTTGTGCTGGAATTATTGGATCGTAGAAAAGCAATCTACCTAATGAAATACCATGGGTTTAA